GTGCCAAATACTTCTCAGAGTTATGCCAAAGTTATTAAAGAGCATGGGTAAGTTGAAAGGTAAAATGAGAGTTTCTTCCTTTCTTCTGCCAACACTGTTTTTTTTTTGTTAACAATATTTAAAAGATTTATGGAGAAGTGTGAAGTCAAGTTTGATATGATTGAAGTTGTAGAATTCAGTGAGGTACTTCTCTGGACCACTACCACCATATATCCAAATTTTATTCTTACTGAAAAGCTAGTTTACTTTACCAATATTTATGGGTTTTTTTGCCACAATTCTTTTTTTGTAATTGCTACAAAAGTTTGGATAGAATATGTGTGTTTCACTAATGGATCACAACGACCACAGCTTCCACCAGACTGAGTCCTGCACAACTAATTAGTGCCCGCCTACCACCACTGACTGCTCTGAAAGGGATCACAACAGAGGGTCCCAGACAGGGCTGGAGAAAAATGTAGAACAAAATTCTAACTCACAAGAAAAAGACCAGATTTACTGGCCTAAAGGAGACTGGAGAAACCCCGAGAGTACAGCTCCCAGACACCCTTTTAACTCAGTACTGAAGTCACTCCTGAGGTTCACCCTTCAGCCAAAGATTAGACAGGCCTATGAAATAAAACAACACTAAATGGGACACCAGCCCAGGGGCCAGGGTGAGAAGGCAGGAGGGGACAGGAAAGATGATAATGGGGAACCCAAGGTCAAGAAGGGGAGAGTGTTGACATGTCATGGAGTTGGCAACCAATGTCACAAAACAGTATGTGTATTAGTTATTTAATGAGAAACTAATTTGCTCTGTAAACCTTCATCTAAAGCACAATTAAAAAATAAAAAAAAACAAGAGTATATGTGTTTCTGAGGTTCTGAGAGCTAAGTGTGATCACAAAAATTATACAGCTTTTTATTGTTTTTTTATCATCTTAGTAATATGGGTTCTTTTTTATTTCTCTTCTGTAATTCCAGTAATGTGAGCATTATTGCTTAGACATTGTCACCTTGCAGTCGCAGTATTTAAGTAGTAGATTAAGGTAGAAATGATAGGAAAAAGGACTCCCCAGTTCACAGCAGTTACAATAACTTCATGATGTCTTCTTTTTGTCTGTCTTCCAGTACTGACTTTTTTGACAAGGATGGAGTAATGAAAGACATCAGGGCGATTTATCAGGTTTATAATGCACTTCAAGAAAAAGTGCAGGTAATGGATTTATTTTCTAATTTTTATCTTATTCATATTTCCTACATGCTTTTAATTCTACTTTACTTTTTAATAATTCTCTTAACTGACAAATGAATTGTGATCTGCAAGTCAGAATATTATTTCCCTCTGTACAAGCCTATAAAAGCCTGTGTCACTCATTATGTGCCTGAAGTGGAGACTCTAAAGTATGGGATTAATATTAGCGACCCTATAGGACAGAGTAGAACTGCCCCATAGGGTGCCCAAGGCTGTAAATCTTTACCAAAGCAGACTGCCACATCTTTCTCCCACGGAGTGGCTGGTGAGTTCAAACTGCTGACCTTTTGGTTGGCAGCTGAGTGCTTTAACCACTGTGCCACCAGGGCTCCTTCCATGGTAGTCACATTACTACTCTGAATACTCATAGCCCTGTTAATAACTTTTTTTTTTTCCTAGGAAAATGTGCTCTGAGTGTAAAGAAAGATTGCTAGGAATACAGCTCCCTCCATCAGTTGTATTCAAAGTCTAGACTAGCTCAAAGTAGACCACCCACAACTCAGCACAGTCCCCGCTCCCTGTGGTCCCTCTAGTTCCCTCTGCCCCCAGCTGCCTCCATGGTGCGGGAGGATCCCGGGGAGCCTGTTCATTCCTGGTCATTCACGCGGCAAATACTTCTGGAAACACCCCCTGCGAGCCAGATACTGAGCTAGCTGCTACACATACTTTCCCCATTAATTGTTCTCATCATCTTCCGTGTGATTCTTAGGAGTAATTTACTCTAAAACCCTAAGAGCAGAAGACCTTTGAGCTTATCTTTGAGGACAAGAAGGAAAGTGGTGTGGCTGAGAGGCTCTCTCAGGGCTGGCGAAAGCCTGGGCTGGAGGACGAGGGCTCCGAGGGACAGAGCGGAG